TGGCGTAGCAGTGGCGTCATGCTCCTCTTTCAAAGAGAGATGCCTGGGTTTGATCACTTGCGACACCTGCCACAATACGATGTTCGTGACCGCTACGTTGTGGTTCACACACAATGGGACGGACGTGACGTCTACTTCCACAACGTGTATGCCCCTGTGTCCAACGACACGCGGGAGGCATTTTTTGAACGTTTACCTCGGGACTTCCACCCCGGCGCTATACATCACGTCCTGGGTGACTTCAACCTCTCTATCCATCGTGCCGTCGATTTATTGGACGGTCACAGCTCCCATCACACAGGGAGACACGAATTAATGCCGTGGCTACAGTCTCTCGGGGTGGTGGATGCATGGCGATTGCACCACCCTAGGGAACGCATCTACTCTTCTCTAAAGGGTGGCAATCGACTCGACTACATCTTCGCCGATACCCAACGTGTCCAGGTGGCGTATCGATCAGCCACCTACATTCAGTGCCCTGACCGCACTGACCACCTGTGTCACGCGTTGACATTGTTACCTGTGGCTGGGGAACGATCACGGTCGTATTGGAAGCGTCCCAAAGAACTTCTGCGTATCCCCGAGGTGACGGCTACGATTCGTGGGGAGGTACAGACTCTCCTAACCCAACTCAGTACGGCTGCAAATGTTGGAATCGTGTGGGCTGGGTGGAAAAAACGCACTCGGCAGTTCCTCAAAGCCTACCACACACAATTCTTGGCCCACGTTGTTTGGTCGAACTTTCTGCATATCAAATGATGCAGGACACTTGCCAATTCATTTTACTACATCAGAATATAGAGGCGGTCGTGATCATATTTCTTGGGGGTTCTCTGTATCACCCCGCTGCCTTGATCTGACGAAGTAGCAATCATCTATTGAAGTTCACCTCGCCTTAACCCACCGAATTAGTCCACTTTAGAAAATTTCGGCTCGGAACCGAGGTCATGATGACCTCTGACAGCGACATGCTCGACGACCCAGGCTCGCCTTCAAGGCGCCTTCTATGTGCGCAAATTACATCACTTTCGACGTTGAGAGCCGCGTTTGATGGCAAGTGCAATCAGAGTTTGTGATCCCCGACTAGGAGGCCGACACGATTCCGTCTGTTAGCCTATGCAGCCCGAGGAAATGCCCACACGAGATTGCATGTTACGTGGCTGTTTGAGCTCGTTCGACAACACCAAAGGTAGTGCTTGAAAGGACGCGATGACCCGGTCCAGCAATTCTTACCCCCTCATCCATCGCGTCGTTCATGTATTGCGACAGGGCGGCCAAAGCTCATGCGCAAACGGTCCGGGGCATGAACTCAAAGCGCGAACTGATGCTTCTGTTGTTCGGGATTCGTCATGGCTACCGTGTGATTGGCTAAAACCGACTCGAATTTGCACGAGACGCACATAACGGCGAGCAGAAGATCGGGACATGGAGGTGTACTTGCGTGGGGCGCCAGGTACGCGTCTCGATGGAGCCATCGATCCAAGGAAGTGCATCACGACGAAGTGGGCTTGCTGTAGGATGGCGACATGTGCCCCCGGTTCTTGAACACATCGCGGCTTGTCGGGCGTCGTTGCTGGAGGACTTGGTACGGCGGATGTGCGTCGATGCGATAATGTTAACACGGCTCAGGTCGCACAAGCCTGTGACAGGCAATCCACTGCTGATCTCGTCCAAACCATCGAGCGAGTATGTCTTCCACTCGCATGTGTTTCTGAGCCATTCATTTGGTAATGTGTACGCGTTCAGGCCGTCAGCATTACCCCTTCGTTCGACCTTTCCGACACGCACATCCAAAATGCTGCAGCTGGACTTGTCTATATTGCCAGGTGACTGTTTCTTCGTCAGCTAGTCTCATGCTATGCACGTCAGGGGATTGGCATTGCAAAATCTTTCGTACCCGTCAACGTCTCCACCTGACTCAAGTGCTGCCGCCGTCGAAACAGCAGGATGGGAAGCCACCCTAGACCAACTCGAAAGTGCGATGGGCAACATTCCCCATCGCCAAGTCATTGCAATGGCGTTCTTGAAGCGATGGAAGCGCCAGTTGAAACCACTACCCTCGTCCGCACTTCCCAGAAGCAAACTGGTGTCACCACCGACTTGGGCGACCCTCGTCAAGATGGATTGCAAGCTCCGCGTCGCGGTGGCAAAGCCATCCGCCCATGGCGCCGTCCCCGATCCACAGGCGTGTGTTCGTATCAAGTGGGAAGTCGCGGCCTCATCGAGCGACGGCAATCCGACCGCCCACGTCGTCGACTTGACTGTGGCTGAGTTTCAGGCAAGTCTCACGAGTCGCCAAGGAGTTGTGGCTTGTGACGTCATTACGTCTTCATAGGACTTGTATGCATCGTGGCAAGCGCTAGCCGTGGCAGTCGGAGAATACCCGTAGGCGTCGAAAGCGTATTCCTCAATGGAACCAAAAACGCTGTCTCTAGTCGAAGCCATCGCTTTGTCACACTCTAGGAACCCCACGCACGCAAGTGGATATGCACGTGAACAGTGTCAGATATGGCACGAAAGCCAAACGACGATGGCCAAGCAACCCAAAGCCACCATGGACAACACGATCGATTAATGGACAGGAGTTGCTGCGTGGGGGTGCAAGTTGTTGATCAAGAGGTACACTACATCCAGACGTGTTCGATTTGGATACCGCGATGCCAGAACTAGATATACCTCGATGCAGCATAAATATGGCGTCTTGGATGGCGGCGGCACACACAGCGACGTGAGGCCCCGATCGTTTGTGCGCGACGACGAGCGTCGCGTTTTCGATCGCGATCACTTGAATCGTGCAGTTCCGGCCGCCTTGCATCGTGACAGACTTGGCGTTGTCGCCAACAAACGCCACTGTCGCACAGACGTGTTAGTTGAGTCATGCAAGGCGCAAAAGACGGACTCATGTCGGCGGCGAGCGTGCGAAGCGACTGCAAGTTGACCAGGACTCCAAGATGGTCGACGTCAACTGTGGCGTACGTGACGGTGTCGTCCGTCACCAGGATCGCCTTTTGGATTCCACGTTGTTGCTGTACTACGCACGGGCAAAGTCAACGAAAGTGACAGAGGTCGTCGTGGTCGAACAAATGGCCAAGATGGGCTTGACGGAGTCCCGGATGACTTCGCTGATCTTGTAGTGGAACCCGTGAAAGTCACGCAGGTTGTGGCCAATGTTGCCAAGGTCGCCCGCGTACTCGTCGACAAATGCGGACAGAATCTCCTTGGCGATAAACGCGCCAAACTTGGGGCCGTCCGACACGTCGAGGAATATCGCACAGAAAACTTTGGCATGGTCGTTCGTGACGACAGTCACGGCCACTACATTATAACGTTCACCCATTACCATCCCGACCGCCCTCGCCGAACGTTTTACCATGGGCAAACTCCATGTAAGACACGGGGGCGCCGGTCGTCTTCGCCGAAAACTCCAAGATTGCCGTGAGCAAGGAACCTATAAGACGCGGCTGGAACAAGAGGACGTGCATGAGCTACTCCAACACGATGGCTGGCAATGTACCTGAGCGATTGCATTGACGAACTCCTTGGAGAACAGCACAAGACCGCTCGTTGCCATGACCAGCACATTCCGGAGCATGGTGTCTTGAAAGATTCGTGCGAATCCAAACCGAGTTTCGGCCTTCAACGAAATTAAAAAAGATACATCTCAAGTTCGCATCTGAATATTACTGTATTGC